AACCACTCAAAAGACCTCTGGTCTCGGTTGATCCAGATGAAATCCACCTAGAGAGAGGGTCTTTGGCTCAGAGGAGGGTCTCCCTCATTCACAGCGTGCTCACATCTGTGGTCCCCGGGCCCTGAGGACCCCCAGTGTCTACACATGGTCAGAAGGGCAGACAGACACACAGAAGTAAAGAGACTCGCCCAGTTTCCAGAACAGCATGACCAGGACCCAGGTTCCTGACTCCAAAGCTAGAGTTTGTCTTTGTAAGCAGTGTTCTGAGATATCAGCTTGGGAAAGACAGCTATGCACAATTACTGTTTAGTTCCCTGTGCACAATAATGACTTTCCAAAAGTCAAACATGTTTTCATCTCTGAAAACCACCACTGGGTCATGGATGACGGTAAGCATGAGGCTTGGAGCTGGGTCCCTGAAGGTGCTTCTTTTCAGGGCCCAGCAGGCTCTCAGAAGTGACAGGAATGTTGATGGCAGAGGCCTAGACATTTAGGAGGGACCAGGAGAGCTGGCATTTTGGAGGGGAAAAAAAGAGAAAGAACAACTTGGAAGGAACAAGGGGGTCCCAGCAGAGGAGAGGTAGGATACCCCTCCCTGCCTCTGCACAGGAACACTGGCTCCTGCTCCGGGAGGTGTTGGGGAGAAGGTCCGGAGGTCTGCCTGCGGGAGGTTGCACCCACCTTGTGCAGCTTCATGTCGTGGTCCTGGAGGCCCTCCATCCAGGAGTGCTGGCAGCTGGGGCAAACGTGCTTTCTCTTTTGGTGCCTGAGGGGAAGCAGGAGGAGGGGGTTTTTAATTTGGGGGGTAATGGAGACTTTTCAGGACCCTGGAGAATAGTGTAGAAGGTAGGAAGTAAGGATGGGGAGGTAGAGCCCACCCTATGAGGAAGGGGAGATGAGAAACAAAATAAGGCAGAGGACAAGGAGGAGAGGGAAGAGAAGAGGGGAGGGGGAGAGGTGAAAGGAGGGGTTAGAAAGTGGGAGCATCCAGGGGGGTCTCTGTCAGGACAGGCCCAGGATGTGGGCAGGGCCAAACCCTGTGCACCCACCTGTGCATGATGCTCTGCAGGATGGAGGCAAAGGGGGTGATGCCGATACCTGCCCCAATGAGCACGGCGTGCTCCGAGGCAAAGATCCTGCGGGTGGAGGTTCCATAAGGGCCATCGACGTAGCACTGTCACAGGGGGTGAGAGGAAAGAGGACTGTGGGGAGAGCTGCACTCCCCCGTCTGGAGGAAGGTCCCCAGGGCCTCAGCACCCTTTTATACATAGGCAGTCAATCATCTCCTAGGCTCGAGCCCAGGTCTCAGCGGCTCCTACTCCAGCCCTCTTTCCACAGGCTGAGCTCGAAGCACACTTCTGGAGAAAGCCCTAGAATGTTAGGATGCAGAGCTGGTGACCAACCAGCATCCCTGCTGAGCCCCTGTCACTCCAGGGGGTGTGTTGTGGGTGCCAGGGAGGCAGGGAGAGAGTGCACAGAGCCCCCCCTCCCCCACCATCCCTGATCCTGGAGAAGAAACAGGCAAGGCAGGGCACCCGTGGGTTTAAGAACAGGAGGAGGGTTTGGTTAAATAGTCTGGATACCTGGAATTCAGTCCCGGGGATTAGAGGAATGGAGGGATCAAGAACCAAAGTAACCTCCTCACAAAGGCAAAGACGGCATTTCCTCAGAGGAGGAAGGAGGTCTCCATCACAGCCACTTCCTGGAGCCTCTTACCTTGATGTTGCAGAATCGATGGTTCTCAGAGGATATCTCAGAAGCCTGCAGGGAGTAGAGCAGAGAGCTGAGTCTGGGAACCCACAGTGCTGGGCATTACTTAGAAGCTTGCAAGCTCTTGCCAGTCTGAGCAACTGTATTGAAAGGGAATTGCTTTTTCTGTCCAAACCATTTCAGGATCCTGGATCCTTTTTAAGAAGGAATATCAGCAGGGTGCTGGTAAATTGGTTCCTAGTGGGGGGCAGGGGGGATCTCAATCACCAAGAGATTAGCATATGTCCATTTCTGTGGCCTAAGTACCATTGGCCCTCTGTATCCATAGGGTCTACAGAACATAGACTCAGCCCACTGTAGATTGATAATATTTTGGGGGAAATTGTGCCTGTAGTAAACATGTATAGAATTTTTTCTTGTTATTATTCCCTAAACAATATAGAATAACAACTATTAACATATGTAAATGTCCATTTAAAGTATATGGGAAGATGTACGTAGGTTGCAAAATCCACATGATTTTATTTATGGGCTTCAGCAGATTTTAGTAGCCAGGAGGGTCCTGGAACCAATCCCCCTTGGACACTGAGGGACAACTGCACTGCCATCATAGCTCCCAACATATGACCGTGTTTAATAACTAGCTCACAAAACGGAGAATTTAACAATCAACTTGTAGGGTTCAGTGTGAGTCAGCTCCAGAGCAAGGCTGGGGAAGACTCAATCACACCTTTAGCTGCATGTTCTCGTGTCTGAGATGGAATGTTCTTTTCCCTCTGTCTAGAGCCCCTTTGCTCTTCCCTGGCTGTCAAATCCCTGTGCCTTGGTCCATGTCCAGCTCATTTGAAGCCACATCTCCTCTTTGAGGCTTTGCCCTGATGCTTTAAGAAAGAAAGGCACCGAGGGCCTGGGGCTCTGCCCTGGGGCTGGTGCCGGCCCTCTGGGTGGGGTCGGGCTCTGCCTGCAGTGCCTGACTACTCCAGACCCAGCATAGGTAGACGGCCAGACACACATGCAGGTCAACACCCTTGCTTCTAGAAGGTGGAGGAAGCAGAATGCAGGACAGGCTGCAGAAGCTTGTGATACCTCCCTCAGAGGAGTTGAGGCTGAGGGCGTGGAAAGGACTGCCTAGTTCCCAAGAGTTCTACGTAGAGTCTGGGTCTCCTGTGACCCACCCTGTGTCACATTACACCATGCTGCTTCTTCATCTTGGGGTGGGGACTGCTTAGTGTTGGACATAAACTGCTTGTGGGGGTTTAGGAGGTACCTGGGAGAGGGCTGCTCCCCTTTCAATTTTCTCTAATCCTTCTGATGGCAAAGAGAAAGACTTCAATTCTGGCCAACACATCTTTAACAGCTCCTTAAGACTAATTTCTTAGAGACTGCTGATAGACCTCTCCCGGACCCCTCTCTGTTTTCTTTTAACAAAGTGAGAAGGGAGAAGTGAAAGTGAGAGAGGGAGTGTGTACCTGCGGGGAGCAGGCCAGTGCCTCAACAGGCAGAAACATCGAGAAGAATTTAATACCATGTTTTCATTGTTTTTACTTTTTACTTTAGCATGTTTATGGCACACAATACTGATTTTCCATTAAAGATAGCAATCTAAGGAGTCTTTTTAAGCACAATTTAGAGTACTGTGGTGATGTAAGAGAATATTAAGTAGAAAATATTGCTAATGAGGTGTGAATGTGGCAACAGTTACAAGGGTGGAGGCAGATGGTTGGCTGCAGAAACCCCACTTCCTGTGGGTCCTGCCTGAGAGTGGGCTTGCCCTGAAGCCAAGGATGCCAGGCCAAGACCCAGCACCCCTGGGCACACATGTCAGCCTCCACTTCCCTGGCCTTACCAGATCCCCGCCCTGAGAAGAGGCTCCCCACCATGCTGGGGTCCCTTCTTCAGTCTTTATGGGGTCCTGGTCTTTGTCCCCCTGGCACTGTAGTTCCTCGGTCCCGTAGGACATCAGCTCCATAGCGACATTCTTGCTGGAGGACTCAGCATCCTGTGCTGAGGTACAGGAGTGGCTGGGCTGTGGTTGCAAATCCTGTTTTGTTTCAAAACAGAAATTGCTTTAATATTACAGAGTCAATTCCTGTTAGTTGTAAAAACATCACATATTACAGAAATAATTAAACAATAAAATGAAAAAGTACAGGATGACAGCTACCATAAACATTTTCTCTGCTCTTTAGACACTCTTTTCTTTAAAAAAATTTTTTTTTTAGTTGTAGTTGGACACAATACCTTTATTTTATTTATTGTTTTTATGTGGTGCTGAGGATCGAACCCAGGGCCTTGCATGTGCTAGGCAAGTGCTCTATCGCTGAGCCACAACCCTAGCCCCTAGACACTTTTTTCTAACATACACATGTGTATGGGCACACATACCCACACACACACAGACACACACCTGCATACACATGCACACACACACACTTATTTTATACCAATGGAGCATCCTGCTTTGCAACCTGTCTTTCCCACTTCTACACTCTGACTAGCTTTCCATACTAACAAGTTGAAATTTCCATAATCTTTCTTAGGCAACTTACTATTCCGTTATGAGGGTGATCAGTAATTTCCCTGGCTGCCTTCTGTTGCTGGGCCTTCTGACTCTCTTCATTTTCTCATTATCATGAGCGACCATGCGATGTGGAATAACACATTTCCTGTCATTATCCCTAGACCCTAGTTTACTTCTCTGCATAGCATTTGTTGTTGCCTGACATGTTACATGTGCATTTCATCTGTTCATCGAATGCCTCTGCACCAGAAGGTCAGCAGTGCTGTCTCTTTTGCCTACTGACATATCTCTAGCATCTAGAACAGAACCTGGAGAACAGTAGGTGCTGTGCTCAGTAAATATTTGCTAAAGAAATGAACAGGGCTTTTTGTGCACCTGTCCAATTAGCTTTTTAGCATAAATCTCTAAAAATGGAATTGCTGGGCCAGTGGGTGTGCATATTTAAAATGCTGACACATATGGCCAGACTGCCTGCCAGAAAGACTGTGCCAATTTATTCTGTGGCAGCAGGGTCTGAGGTCCCACGGAAACAACCTGAAGTGTGTCTTCCTGCTGGTTCCCAGTGTGCCATGGCTCATCCGGTTTGCAAGTCAGCTTCTTCCTTCAGGAAGTTTCCTCTGATTACTGGAAGAGAACTTTTCTTTTTTTCTACATTTTCCTCCACATCTCACAGTTTTGCTTTTGGCACCATTCTGGAAGGATCCTTTCCTCTGGCCAGACAGGATTCTACCTGGTGCCCCCACTCCCCCAGCACCCATGTTGAAGGCAGGGCTGGGACCTGCAGGGGCCAGTGAGTCCTCCTTCTTTGACCTTCAGATATATTAACTAGTCTCCAGGCCAAGAGGCAGAGTCTCGTGTTCAGCTATCCTCAGCTTCCTGGTCTATCTTTATTTCTCTGGGAGCCACTCTGATACATCTGCATTCCTCTCTCTCCCCACCCCCAGTATTAGGGATTGAATCCAGGAGACTCCATTGTTGAGCAACATCCCCAGGTCATTTCATTTTTTATTTTGAGACAGGGTCTTACTATGTTGCCCTGGCTGGCCTTGAACTTGCCTCAGGCTCCCAAGTCCCTGGGATGACAGGCATGTGGACCACTGTGCCCAGACGCTGTTTCTCCAAACCCTCCCTGGCACTAGCCACCTGGCAGCTTTATGGGCTTCATCAAGGCTCCAGAGGTAACAGTGCTGTTACTGCTGGTGGTGACGATGACCCAGGGGCCCACCTGGGCCATGCTGCCATTTCCCTCAATACTCCATCTGCATTCTTTGGGTCAGTGCTTGATGGGATAAGATGAGAAGGGTGAGCCATGGAGGAAAACTATCTCCATTTCAAAGAAACATAACAGGCTCAGTTAGGTTGACAGACAAGACAAAGACCATGCAATTAGAAAGTACTGTCCAAGAGACTTGGAGGTCAGAATGTTTCTGGTCTCAGTTTCCCCCACTCCTTCCACTGCTCCCCACCCTTTCTAATGCAGGAAATCAGGATGGAAGGATCTGAGGTGGTCAGGCTTCGAAGAGGCTCTGGGACCACACAGTCAGCCATTGCCTAGCCCACTGATGCTGCTGTCCAGACTGTGTGCCCAACAGCTGCTCCTGCTGACCAGGAAGAAAGTGACTTGGTCCCCAGGGTCTGCCTCCATAGAGGGCCCTTGCAGCCACCTACCTGGGGTCTCCTCTGACTCCTTCTCATCCTCAAGCTCCTTGACAGCCTCTTGGAATCACAGCCCACAGGGTCTGACACCTTGAAAGACTCATACAGCCTGTTTGTCCACTGGCCTTGGGACCGGATGTGGAGCTCGATGGTGTCTGAGGGAGAGAGGGAGGTGTCTGTGCTGGCCTCCAGAAGGGAGCAGGGCTTGTCTCACTGGAAGCATGGCCACTGGGCCTCAGTGGTTTGAGTCCCAGTTTGAATGTCCTTCCTCAGGACCAAAGTAGCAACCATAGCACTGGACTTGGATCTTTGACTTCTCTAGTGCAGCCTTTGATCCTTCTTGATGCAGTCAACCCAAGCTCCATGGGGGCTCTGTCCCCTTCAACAGAGGAGGGGTGAGAGTGCCCCTAGCAACTCCCTAAGGGTAGGGCTTCTGCCTCATTCATCAGGTCAGGGACTCGCCAATATGGGGCTCTCCCCACACCGTTACTGTACAAGTAGGTGCTCAGTTCATAGTAGGAGCAACTGCTTTCACTGCAACCGGGCCTGAGGGGTAGCAGGTGCTGACTAAGGTACTCTGTTTAGTGAATGACTATGAATGACTGGTGCTAAGGTGGTATGGGGTGGCATAACCCCTCTGCTGGGGGTGCCAAAATGAACCTACCACTTCAGAGCAACAACACCTGAGAGATCTACTCTGATCTCGCCCTGTTGCTTTTTATATTTTACTTTTTTGAACTATAGACTCTTTTAGCAGTCCTGTGAAGGTAATGGATAGCCTCCTTCTCAAAATAAGGCTTTTAAATACATAAAGTAACATGCATAGAAATTACAGATGAAAACAATTATAACGAGATAGTCACCAAAATCAAAACAATTGTGATTTAAGAACGCATGTGCTCTTAGATCAAACATGACAGGAAATCCCCAGGAACTACTGATCACTGAAGTAATGAGGAGGTAAATGACATCCTGAGGTAGCAGCAACTGTATATGATAGAAAAAAAATCTGGCTTTTATTTTGAAAAAATAAAATACAAGTATTGTTAGTGTGACTGCATATGTAATTGCAGAAGATGCTCCAATTCAATTTAGTGAAAATAAAAACATCTCCTTTTTTCCCAGTCCGAGTTCATGAATAAGCATGTAACCTGGTTTGACTGTATTTTATAGAAGTGGAGAGAGGTGAGGAGTCCCTGAACTTTGGGCCTGCAGCCCTGATCCTGTAGCCCTGCTCCCTTCCCTCTCTGCCGTTTCCTCCCTGACTGTCCCACCCCTGAGGCAGGTCAGCCAGCTCTGCATCAAAGCTGGCCTGCGCACCAGTTCCAGCAGACTCATTGGGCTCCTGCAGGAGGATGAGAATAGACAGGAAGTCCCTTCTCAGGACTCAAGAGATGGGCAGATTCCAGGCTGAGCCCCTGATAAAACCCTTGCAAGAACTGGTCAAGGGACACGGTTGGTAGGAACATGGTGGAGGGAAGGGATTGAGCCGCCCTGTGCCCCTTGCCTCTGCACCTGCAGATCTCACCTAGTCGGAATACTCCATCTCTGAGAGTGTAAGAGGACCTTTATCCAGCTGCTTTCTGCGGAAATCACCAGCGCTGTGACCCCGTAGGGCTCCAGGCCTCAGCGTTCCAGTAGGACGCCTGGTTGGAGCAGGACTCAAAGCTGGAAGTTCTACCCCACACAAGGCTCTGCGAGCACCTTAGCAGAATCACCTGTCAACACATCTGCAGATCACCAAGACTTAGCTCTGCTCCCACACAGGACACTCAGCTGCTGCCCACCACAGCACAACACCATCGCCAGGCTCCCCCCACCTCACCAACACCCAGGCGCTGAAAGCAGACCTCCGCCACCTTGGCTCAACATTCTAGCCATATTAGCTGGGCGCAGTTTCCAGATCGGATCTCCAGGGGCCAAGTACCAGGTTTCCAACCTTCCCCCCTCTCCAGTGGCGGTAACCCAACACAGTAGCTGCCCAACACAGGTGTGCGGTGCAACCAGGGAGCTGCCCCCACGAGCCCTGAGGTGAGAGTTTCCTCAGTTGGGAACTGCTAGGGGAGAGGGAGAGAGGGCTAAAGTCTGGAGCCTAACAGACTAGTAACTGGGAAATCTCCAGGTAAAAGAAGGAGATAGTACCGGTTGCTCAAGTCATATGAGCGGTCCCCAAAAGAGACCCGTGAGGTGCGGTCTCCCTGCAGGGACTGGCGGGTGCCACTCCCCACATCCAGGCAACCTGTGCCAGGACCAGTCTTCCCACCCTGGTTACCTCCACCATCTGGAGGACAGAGACACCAGCTTACAACAGACGACCCCACCTACTGAATGGGGAGAGAAGCAGGGAAAGATACGGATCTCTAAAGCTAGCTACAACCCTGGTTTCTTCCTTTGAGTTTTTTGTTTGTTTGTTTTTTGTCTTCTACCCCTCCGGCCCTTACATCCTTAACATATGTGAAACCAAGAAGTTTACATGAACTAGGTCTTTGAGGACTGAGTCATCTGAATAATATAATATAGAGCTGTTGTTTATGCCCTTTTTTTCTTTTCCTTTTTATTTTTTCTTTCCCCCTCCAAATTTTACTGTTTTGACATCCGTATTTCTAAATACATGTGTGTTTGTTTTATGTACTCTACTGTCATCCCACGTACTTTCCTACCCTAAATTACTTCCTGTCTATTCTCTTGCTACTAACCCTCTTCACTAGATTTCTCCTTCACACTTCCTACAACATATTAACTCTAAATCCTCACATCCTACCTCCTCAACAAACCGTCCTACACCCCACCCCCAGTTTATTGTCCACTGTAAGAAACTGTAAACCTTTTTACAAAACTACTGATTGTATTTTAGATAATAATTGAATCTAACATTTCTATACATTGAGACTAAACTGTAAATGTCTTAATAACAACAAATTGTTCAAAGGTGGTATATTGTTGATATTGGGATCTGTTAATATTGTCCTTCCCCAAAAAAGTGAGGTCTTGACACCCTACAAGAGCACTTCAAACCTATAGGATAAAACACAATAACAATCAAGACCCACAGAGCTGGAAAGGAAGACAATGAGCAACATGAAAAGACAAGGGAAGAAAGTGCCCTCAAACAAATGAAGACACCACATCATTAGAATCATTGGCAGCCACAGCAGGAGAAAGGACAGAGAAGGAGTTTAGGATGTACATGGTTAAAATGTTCCGTAAACTCAAGGAAGATATAAGAAAGCAAATACAAGCAGTGAAAGATCATTTCAACAAGGAGCTACATAAACAAATTCAAGAAGCAAAAGATCACCTCAACAGGGAGATAGAGGTTCTAAAAAACAAAAACAAACAAACAAACAAAAAAAACAGGGCTGGGGTTGTGGCTCAGTGGTAGAGTACTTGCCTAGCATGTACGAGGCACTGGGTTCGATCCTCAGCACCACATAAAGAAAATAAATAACTAAAATAAAGGTATTGTGTCTAACTACAACTAAATATGTATTTAAAAAACCAGAAATTCTTGAAATGAAAGAAATAATAAACCAAATTAAAAGTTCAAATGAAAACGTCACCAACAGAGTAGACCACTTGGAAGACAGGACATCAGACAATGAAGACAATATATATAATCTTGAAAAGGACATTGACCACATGAACAGAACATTCAAGAAATATGGGAGAGCATAAAACGTCCAAATTTAAGAGTTATTGGGATAGAGGAAGGTATAGAGGTCCAAACCAAAGGAATGAACAATCTATTCAAGGACATAATATCAGAAAACTTTCCAAACATGAAGAATGAATTGGAAATCCAAATTCAAGAAGCCTACAGTATGCCAAATGTACAAAATCACAACAGATCCACACCAAAGCACATTATAATGAAAATGCCCAACATACAGAATTAGGAGAGAATTTTAAAAGCCACTAGAGAAAGGAATAAGATTACATATAGGGGAACACCAATTAGGATATTGGCAGATTTTTCATCACAGACCCTGAAAGCTAGAAGACCCTGGAACAACATAAATCAAGCTCTGAAAGAAATCTTGTATCCAGCAAAATTAAGCTTTAGATTTGAAGATGAAATAAAAACCTTCCATGATAAACAAAAGTTAGAAGAATTTATAGCTAGAAAACTGACACTACAAAACATCCTTGGAAAAATACTCCATGAAGAGGAAACAAAAAACAACAATGAAAATCAGCAGAGGAAGGTAGTACCTTAAAGGAAAAACTAATCAAAGAAGAAAATCAAGTTAAGTTAAATAACAAAAATAAACAAATATGGCTGGGAATATAAACCATGTCTCAATAGTAACCCTGAATGTTAATGGCTTAAACTCATCAATCAAAAGACATAGGTTAGCAGATTGAATTAAAAAAAAGAGATCCAACAATATTTTGCCTCCAAGAGATTCATCTGTTAAGAAAAGACATACACAGACTGAAGGTGAAAGATTGGGAAAAATCATACCACTCACATGGACTGCAGAAGCAAGCAGGGGTTTCTATCTTTGTATCAAATAAAGTAGACTTCAAGACAAAGTTAATCAAAAGGGATAAAGACAGACATTACATACTGCTCAAGGGAACTATACACCAATAAGACATAATAATCATAAATATATATGCCCCAAACAATGGTTCAACTATGTTCATCAAACAAATTCTTCTCAAGTTCAAGAGTCAAATTGATCACAACACAATAATCTTGGGTGACTTTAACACACCTCTCTCACCACTGGATAGATCTTTGAAACAAAAGTTGAATAAAGAAACTATAAAACTCAATGATACAATCAATAACTTAGACTTAACTGACATATATAGAATATTTCAACCTGCATCAAGCAGATACACTTTCTTCTCAGCAGCACATGGATCCTTCTCTAAAATAGACCATATACTATGCCACAAAGCAACTCTTAGCAAATACAAAAAAAGTAGAGATACTACCATGTTTTTTATCAGATCATAATGGAGTGAAATTGGAAATCAATGACAATAAAAATTAAAATTAATCCAACACCTGGAGACTAAACAATATGCTACTGAGTGAACAATGGGTTACAAAAGACATCAAAGAGGAGATTTTAAAAATTCTTAGAGGTAAATGAGAACATAGACACAACATATCAAAATCTCTGGGACACTATGAAAGCAG